GAGTGCGGCGCTGGGAGCGCTGAGGCCGCAGGTTCGGATCCTATATAGGGATGGTCGGTGCACTCACTGGTTGACCGTGGTGCAGACAACACCATGCCAAGGGTTGCAATCCCCTTACTGGTCAAAAAAAAATATATATATATATATATATATATATATATATATATATATCTCATACAGGGCTAAAACTTAGCTAATGAAAAATTAATTTCCATGGAATATTCGACTCTTCCAAAGACACTGGATCAATAAAAGACAGCTGCACTTTGCCTGCCCCTCCCAAGATCTGTCCAGAAATGCAGTCATTTCCCTTTCCAGGACCCACCTCCAGATAACCTTTAATGGTTGCCCAGCTCCAGCAGGGCAGACAACCTTCTTTAAAGTGGCCTGCAGACCTGCTTCAGCTTGCCAAGACCACCCACATCAGCACGTGGGAAGGCAAGGACTGACCCTGGTCCTCTGTGAATGAGTAAAAAGGAGAAACAGGCCCTCACGGGGAGAACCAGCAAGCACGGCTTCTGCACAGCAAAGGACACTGTCAACAAAGTGAAGAGACAACCTACAGAATGGGAGAAAGTGCAAACTACACAACAGACAAGGGGCTAATATCTAGAATATATAAGGAACTCAAACAACTCAACAGCAAAAAAACAAAATAACCCATTTAAAAGTGGGCAAAGGGCCTGAACAGACATTTCTCAAAAAAAGACATACAAATGGCCAACAGGCACATAGAAAAATGCTCAAAATCACTAATCATCAGGGAAATACAAAGTAAAACCACAATGAGATATCATTGAATGGCCATTATCAACAAGACAGAAAACAGCAAATGTTGTGAGGATGTGGAGAAAAAGGTGGGAATGAAAATTGGTGTAGCCACTGTGAGAAACAGTATGGAGCTTCCCCAGAGAACTAAATACAGTCATAAAAAATTATGACCCAGCCATCCCACTACGGGGTATATACCAAGCGGAAATGAAATCAGTTTGTCAAAAGGACACCTGCACTCCCATGTTCCTCACAATGCTATTCATAATAGCCAAGAGATGGGAGCAACCTAAATGTCCATCAACAGAGGAATGGATAAAAAACTGTGGCATACATATACAATGGAATACTACTCAGCTATATAAAAAAAAAAGATATCCAATCATTTGCAGCAACATGGATAGAACTAGAAACCATCATGTTAAGTAAGTCAGGCACAGACAGACAAACACCACATGATATCATTCATATGTGAAATATAAAAAAAAAAGTGGTTTTCATAGAAGTAGAGAGTGGAACAATGGTTACCAGAGGCCATGAGGGGAAGGATGAGAAGTGGACTAATGGGTACAAAACTGTGCTGTCTACCCTAAGTAAGTCATTGTATATAACACATGCATGTATTGAAACAACACATTGTATTCCACAAATATATACAAGTGTTAAAATATTTTCAATAACAACAAAAAAATTCCCAGCTGGCCAATTAGCTCAGTTGTTTAGAGCGTGGTGTTGTAACCAAGGTCAAGAGTCAAGGGTTCGGATACCCATACTAACCAGCCACCAAAAGACAAAAATTAAAAAATTAAAATAAATTTTTAGAGGCTGGAGTGCTCAGGTCGTGGGGAGTGAGTCAGGGCCTGTGGAGGGAGTGCCACACACGGGCTTTAACAGAGAGGTAGAGCAGGTCCCTCTGCAGCCATGTCAGTCAAGGCGATTTTGGAGCAGATGGGCAAGGAACTCCTTTACAAGTACATCTGCACTACCTCAGCCATCCAGAACCAGTTCAAGTATGGCCAGGTCACCCCAGGCACACACTGGGCCCGCCTGCTGCAGGACCATCCCTGGCTGCTCAGCCAGAGTGTGGTAGTCGAGCCAGACCAGCTGATCAAACGTTGTGGAAAGCTTGGACTAGTTGGGGTCAACCTCACTCTGGATGGGGTCAAGTCCTGGCTGAAGCCATGGCTGGGGCAGGAGGACATGGGTGGCAAGGCCAAAGGCTTCCTCAAGAACTTTCTGATTGAACCTTCGTCCTGCACCATCAGGTGGAGGAGTTCTATGTCTGCATTTATACCACTCGAGAAGGCGACTATGTCCTGTTCCACTATGGGGGGGGTATGAATGTAGGTGATGTGGACGCCAAAGCCCAGAAGCTGCTTGTTGGCATGGACAAGAAGCTATCCTGCACCATCAGGTGGAGGAGTTCTATGTCTGCATTTATACCACTCGAGAAGGCGACTATATCCTGTTCCACTATGGGGGGGGGATGAATGTAGGTGATGTGGACGCCAAAGCCCAGAAGCTGCTTGTTGGCATGGACAAGAAGCTGAATCCTGAGGACATCAAAAAGCACCTGTTGGTCCACGACCCTGAAGACAAGAAAGAAATTCTGGCCAGTTTTATCTCTGGCCTTGCTTCAATTTCTACAAGTACCTGTACTTCACTTACCTCGAGATCAACTCCCTTGTAGTGACCACAGATGGTGTCTACGTCCTTGACTTGGCAGCCAAGGTGGATGCCACAGCCGACTACATCTGCAAAGTGAAGCGGGGTGAAATAGAGTTCTCTTCGGGTGGGAGGTGTACCCAGAGGAAGCCTACATGGCAGACTGGGATGCCAAAAGTGAGTTGAGCCTGAAGCTGACCTTGCTGAACCCCAAGGGGAGGATCTGGACCATGGTGGCCAGGGGTGGTGCCTCTGTCATGTACAGTGATACCATCTGTGATGTAGGGGGTGTCAGCGAGCTGGCAAACTATGGACAGTACTCGGGTGCCCCCAGCAAGCAACAAACCTATGACTATGCCAAGATGATCCTTTCCCTTATGACCCAAGAGAAGAACGCAGATGGCAAGATCCTCATCACTGCAGGCAGCATTGCAGACTTCACCAATGTGGCAGTCACATTCAAGGGCATTGTAAGAGTGATTCGAGATTATCAAGGCCCCCTGAAGGAGCATGAGGTCATGATCTTTGTCCAAAGAGATGGCCCCAACTATCAGGAGGGCTTACAGGTGATGGGAGAAGTTGGGAGAACCACCGGGATCCCCATCCACGTCTTTGGTACAGAGATTCACATGACGGCCATTGTGGGCATGGCCCTGGGCCACCGGCCAATCCCCAATCAGCCACCCACAGTGGCCCACACTGCAAACTTCCTCCTCAATGCCAGCAGGAGCACATCGACTCCAGCCCCCAGCAGGACAGTGTCTTTTTCTGAATCCAGGGCTGATGAGGTAGCACCTGCAAAGAAGTCCAAGCCTGCCATGCCACAAGATTCAGTCCCAAGTCCAAGATCCCTACAAGGAAAGAGTGCCAACCTCTTCAGCTGCCACACCAAGGCCATTGTGTGGGGCATGCAGACCCAGGCTGTACAAAGCATGCTGGACTTTGACTACGTCTACTCCCGAGACAAGCCCTCTGTGGCCGCCCTGGTCTACCCTTTCACTTCTTGCCATGAAGAAGCACCCAGAGGTAGATGTGCTAATCAACTTTGCCTCCCTCCACTCTGCTTATGACAGCACCATGGAGACCATGAATTATGCCCAGATCTGGACCATTGCCATCATAGCTGAAGGCATCCCTGAGGCCCTCACAAGAAAGCTGATCAAGAAAGCAGACCAGAAGGGCATGACCATCATTGGACCTGCCACTGTTGGAGGCATCAAGCTTGGGTGCTTTAAGATTGGAACTACAGGTGGGATGCTGGACAACATATTGGCCTCCAAACTGTACCACCCCGGCAGTGTGGCCTAAGTCTCACACTCTGGAGGCATGTCCAACAAGCTCAACAACATCATCTCTCAGACCACGGATGGCATCTATGAGGGTGTGGCCATTGGCGGGGAAGGTACCCTGGCTCAACATTCATGGATCATGTGTTACATTACCAGGACACTCCAGGAGTCAAAATGATTGTGGTTCTTGGGGAGATAGGGGACATTGAGGAATATAAGATCTTCCAGGGCATCAAGGAGGGCCGCACCACCAAGCCTGCTGTCTGCTGGTGCATTGGGACCTGTGCCACCACGTTCTCCTCTGAGGTCCAGTTTGGCCATGCTGGAGTTTGTGCCAACCGGGCTTCTGAAACTGTGGTAGCCAAGAACCAGGCTTTGAAGGAAGGAGGAGTGTTTGTATCCCGGAGCTTCGATGAGCTTGAAGAAATCATCCAGTCTGTGTATGAAGATCTTGTGGCCAATGGAGTCATTGTAGCTGCTCAGGAGGTGCCACCCCCAACAGTGCCCATGGACTACTCCTGGGCCAGGGAGCTGGCTCTGATCCGCAAACCTGCCTCGTTCATGACCAGCATCTGCGACGAGCGAGGACAGGAACTCATCTATGCTGGCATGCCCATCACCAAGGTCTTCAAGGAAGAGATGGGCATCAGTGGGGTCCGTGGCCTCCTCTGGTTCCAGAAAAGGCTGCCCAAGTACTCTTGCCAGTTTATTGAGATGTGTCTGATGGTGACAGCTGATCATGGGCCAGCCCTCTCTGGGGCTCACAACACCATCATCTGTGCACAGGCTGAAAAGGACCTGGTCTCCAGCCTTACCTCGGGGCTGCTCACCATTGGGAACCAGTTTGGGGTGCCTTGGATGCAGCAGCCAAGATGTTCAATAAAGCCTTTGACAGTGGCATTATCCCCATGGAGTTTGTGAACAAGATGAAGAAGGAAGGAAAACTGATCATGGGCATTGGTCACCGAGTGAAATCTATAAACAACCCAGACATGCGAGTGCAAATCCTCAAAGACTGTGTCAGACAGCACTTCCCTGCCACCCTGCTGCTCGATTATGCTTTGGAAGCGGAGAAGATTACCACCTCAAAGAAACCAAATCCGAGTGAAATCTATAAACAACCCAGACATGCGAGTGCAAATCCTCAAAGACTGTGTCAGACAGCACTTCCCTGACACCCTGCTGCTCGATTATGCTTTGGAAGCGGAGAAGATTACCACCTCAAAGAAACCAAATCTTATCCTGAATGTGGATGGTTTAATCAGAGTTGCATTTGTAGACATGCTTAGAAACTGTGGGTCCTTTACTCAGGAGGAAGCTGATGAATATATTGACATTGGAGCCCTCAATGGCATCTTTGTGCTGGGAAGGCGTATGGGCTTCATTGGACACTATCTTGATCGGAAGAGGCTGAAGCAGGGGCTGTATCGTCATCCGTGGGATGATATTTCATATATTCTTCCGGAACACATGAGCATGTACCTGAGCTAGGAACCCTACTACGGTAAATTGAAGACAGGAACTCCTCCCCTGGGAAATAGTGTGCACACAGCTGGCAGTGGAGCCTGCTATAGGATGAGCATGGAATGTAAACAGCCACCAGTGTGCAGGGACCAAAGACCAGCACCCACAGGCCAACCCCCGTTCAGTCCATACAAAGAAGCTTAATACTTTTTTAATAAGCATAGAAATAAACACCAAGACAATACTTGTGAAAAAAAAATTAAAATAAATTTTTAAAAATTTCCCAAATAATACCATCATTTGTTTGAATTTAGTCATGAGAAATAACTCAGAAAAGAGATGACTCTAACAGAAATACATCAAGAGTGACGTGGAGATTAATTTCAGAAGTTACGGTAGTTCTACCAAGTTCTGAGGAAAGACAATTCATAATTCATACCAAGCTTCATCACTGTGCACAATTTCCTGCAAACAAGGTTTAACTCATCCTAAGATTTCACCACAGAGAACAAGAGAAAATCACCCTCCTATCATAGATATACCTCAGCCCACGACGGTTCAAATTAATGATTTTTCAGCCTTACAAAGGTGGGAAAGCAATGCACACTCAGTAGAAACCATGAGTGCCCACGCTACCACTGCTTCTCACTTTGTCAGTACAGCATGCAATGAATTACATGAGACATTCAACACTATGTTATAAAATGGGCTTTGTATGAGATGATTTTGTCCAACTATAGGCTAATATCGGTGTTCTGAACAAGTTTCAGATAGACTAGGTTAAGCTATGATATTTGGTAGGTTAGGCATATTAAATGCATCTTCAACTTATGATATTTTGTGATGGGTTTAATGGGAGGTCACCTATTGTAAGCCGAGGAGCATCTGTATATGGTTCAAATCTGTATGACCCCACCACACTTTGGGCCACAAGGCTGAGGGAACTCCCGAAAACCGCCCCAGATCCTGCCTACTCCATAGTTCCAAGAACTCAGAAAGGGGCATGGGGCCACTGCTGGCCCATAGGGAGCCTCTGTGCATGTAGAAAACAGCAGACACTGGTGCAGTCCAGAGCCCAGGAGTGGTGAGCAGATCCTCTCCTTGCCCGGCACCCTTGGGCCTGATGTCACCTGCACAGCCCTATCACAGGAAGCTGACTCTGGCCTTATCATAAATGTGGGAAGATGCTGCACCTACTTACCAAGTCTCCTTGGTCAAACCCTCTAGTCATTTGGAAAGTGCCCGTTTGCTGAGAATGCCTCTTCTTGAGGAGTGATTTCTTGCTTGACTCTGGTGCACAGCAGAGAGAAGAGAGTTCTCAGCAGTTGTCTCCAGTCTCTTGTCCACAAAGGCAACATCTTCCTCTGTACTCAAGATTGGAGGGGGACAGAACGCTACAGGGGTAATGTCATCTGCCATTAGCAATTAGTATTCTCTCAAAAAACAGTTTTTTTTCCTTTTTGTCTGACCGGTAACGGGACCGCAACCCTCGGTGTTGTGCCCGCACTGCGCTCAGCCAGTGAGCGGGAACCGGTCTCCACATGGGATCCGAACCCTTGGCGCTCCCAAGCGGTGCACTCTCCAGGCCGCTACTGGACATGATCATCACAATGTCAGGATGTCCAGGTGCGACTGTCAGTAACAGCAGCTTTCATTTTTTCACTCCTCGTGTTTGATGAGGGCCTCAGGGATGGCATCTCACTTATTCCTCCCAACTGGGTCCTTACATCCTCTGGGGGTGACCTGCACCTTAAGTCAGCAGCCTTACCAGTCCAGTTTTGTATTTATAGTCAGGGAGAAGGCTGAAACTCACATGCTGATAAAATTTTGGGATTATCTATAGCCTTTATTTACCC